TCTACGTATATATATATATATATATATATATATATATATATATATATGAAAAAACAGTATATATATATATATATATATATATATCATGTATTTTAGCTGATATTACTACCTTGAAATACTTATTCATACAAATTCATCCTGCTGCACCGTTACATTCTACCATGTTGTTGTTTAATATCTCTCTTTAGGACGTTGTAAATAGACTCATGTTCGTGCTGCTGTTCGGCGTATTGTTCTTATGCTGTTAGTGCTTAGTGTATTTTTAGTTAATATTTTTCTTAGTTCATATCTTAGATCTTATTACTGTTTTTCTTTTACATTTTATTACTTCTGTTGGATGTAACTGGGACCCTGTGTACACAGTTTTGTTCCACCACATGTACCACATGTGTTGTGAATGACAAATAAAGAACATTGAATCCTTGAAATATTATAATTACTTTTTCACTTTTTGGTACTTTGTTTTTGTACTCTTATTTCATGTTTTAGTATTTCGTGTTTTTTGTTCTTTGATTTTTTAGCGAGTCAAATCTTTTCTTTGTACCGTTAACCTGCGGAAAATAAACACAACTTAAACTTGAATTCATATAAAAATGTTAAAAACTGGGGATGATCTTAGCGCTCTCTGTTTATGAATCGAGAATTTTGCCAGACGAAAGATCAACCGAGCTCCATTTTTTTGTTTTTCATTAAAACTCCAGATGTTCCCACGTCTCTGGAAATAGATCCAGGAAGTGAAGTTTTCAGTGTGATCCACTGTTTCTAAGTGATCCCAAAAGATTTTGGTTTGGTTGCATTCATAGAAGATATGGTTTATTGTTTCTATATCCTGTTCACAGAGCGAGCTTTAATTGTCATCAATATTAAAACCACTTCTTTGTAGCTCTTTGGAGGAGTAAGCTGCATTTAAAATGTTCAAGTGTTTCTTTAGCCTTGGGTTGTATGGGGAGTTTTAAATTTAGAGTTCTCAACATCTCAATTGATTTTTTTATTTATTTTCAAATTTGCAGAGTATGTTATTTTTATTTATTTTCCCAGGGAGTAAAGTTTCGTTCCGACAGCTTCTAAATGTGCAGCTGTTGAATGTTTTGTCAGTAAATTATATTCCATTAATAGTTAGAGTGGGCAGTTGTGGGGTTATAGGATGATATGTAATAATCATATTTTGAATCTGATTAATAAATTGTTTTGGTAATGCTTTAATTAATCTGGTAAATTCAACTTAGTGGGGATAGAATTTATACTTTGCACAGAATTGTTCGTAGTTCGTGGGAAAAACCAACTCGGACATGTTCCTGTTTTTAGTTTTCTACATCGCCTTATAATCTAGTTGTTCTGGTTTTGTTTTTTAATAACATCTTCTTTCATTTGTTCTTCTCAATTTGTATGTTTTTATGATTGTCTGTTGTTGTTATTGTTTTCATTCTTTGTTAATTCAGGTCTCTCTTGTAAATGAGTCCCTGAAGCTGTATAAATAAAGGTTGAATAAATATCTGCAAAATCATAGCTAAAAGCTAAAACTATCTAATTTGTTGCTCATCGTTAAAATAAGGATTAATTAAAATGCTAAAAGTAGCAAAAGATTAGCAATAAAGCTAAATGTGTCTAAACAAAAAGCTAAACAGAGCTAAACTCTAGCTAAAGGTCAACATTAACAAAACCAATGCTGAAAACAAAAATGAGGAAAATTTGTAGCTAAAAACTTTTTGAAAACACGCTATGAATCTAAAACCGCCAAAGTGGCAGCTAAAAGGTAAAGGTAGCTGAAAGGTGGCAAAAAGCTAAAATGAGCTAAACAGTAGCTAAAAGTTGAAAATAGCAATATCATAGCTAAAAACTACAGGCTGTACCCAACAGCTAAAATGAGCCATGTGTGGCCCTCAGAGTATGTGTTGGGATGACTCTCCAGTACTACCACACCAACCTTTAGCTCCATAGCTGTAGATTTAACTGAGCTAGAGCCATTTTGGTGTTTTCTGAGGTCACTTGGCTGAGGTGGCCATCTTGAGTTGGGTTGACCCCAAACGTTAAACGTTTGTAGATGTTCATCCTGTCACCATGTTCTGAGTTTCATTCATATCTTTCCAGTGGTTCATGAGATATTTTACTAACAAAGAAACCAACACAGGAGTAACTACAATAGTACCGTCACCTTTCGGCTGCAGGCGATAATGAAATAATCAAATCATCTGTACTTTTATTAAGATCTCCGTAAACAACAAGTAAACAAAAACAGATAACGCCTCTTGGTGGAGATAAACACAAAGTCCAACAAACAAATGAAACAGAAGAGATGAAAGAGAAGCTGCCTGGAAGCGTCCGGCAAAACCAAGATCAAAGCTGAAAAGATGGCGGCTGGAGAGACGAGCGAGGAATCATGTAACCTCACACAGCGAAACCACACACACCTGACTGAAGCGCACGTGATGGGCACCACACACACATGGTTTCTAACTGCGTGTGCATGTCTAAAGTGTTGATGCATCTTTCAGCTGAAGTGAGCAGGTGTGTGTTTCTGCACGTGCACGTAACGTGTTACATGTTCACGTGTAGTTCATACCTGCAGGTTTACCGTACACAGAGGGTTGTAAAAGGATTCACCTCAGAAGACCTTCTACAGCCGTTACATAAGCACCGGAAACAACAAAGTCCAGGCTCAATAATCCAGGATTACAATCCAACAATTTCAGTCAGGTCATCTGGACAGTTTCTTTTTTGTGCTGAAACGTTTTGCCTTCAATCCAGAAGGCTTCATCAGTCAAGGAAACACACAACAAAACTGATTCTTCCCCCAACAGCTTACTCTAAAGTGGAACAAAGTAGATTATTGAGCATGGACTTTGTTGTTTTCAACCAGTTTGACACGACTGTCAACAAGGAAGAGGGCCGGCAATGGAGGAGGGGGCGTACCAAAGAGACCATCTTATCACAAGCAGAACTGGTTTGTTCCACTTTGGAGTAAACTGTTGGGGGAAGAATCAGTTTTGTTGTGTTTCCTTGACTGATGAAGCCTTCAGGATCAAAGATGAAACGTTTCAGCACAAAAAAAGAAACTGTCCAGATGACCTGACTGAAAAATGTTGGTAAGCACTGGAACATCTTCAGGCTGGATGGGTTCTGCTTCAGTCCAAGGATCTTCAAACCAGATGCTCAGGTGGACTGAGGTCTGAGTGGATTGAGGTCTGAATGGATTGAGGTCTGGGTGGATTGAGGTCTGGGTGGACTGAGATCTGGGTGGATTGAGGTCTGGGTGGACTGAAGTCTGAGCTTTGACTGGACCATTCCAGGACCATTACCAGTTGCTTGCTGGAAGTTGAACCTCTGTCTCTGTAAAACTCAGACAGGTTCCCTGAGGAATGCCTCTGTATTTCACTACATCCATCTTTGCTTTAACTCGGACTAATTTCTCGGTCCCTGCTGATGGCAAACATTCCCACAGCATGCTGCTGCCACCACCATGCTTCAGTGCAGGGATGGTGCTCTCATCATGACGAGGAGGTAGAGTGGCCTTAAGTCTCTTGCTTGGTGGTAACTGGCAAAGCTTCAATGTGTCCAAAGTGTTGATTGTGGGGTCTGTCACTGTCCACACGAGGCTTTTGTGAATCTCAAAGGGTGTTTGTTGTCTCATCTTGGTTCAGGGACACAGTGTTTTCAGAGCCTCAGAGGTTTTTTTCTTTAAATGTTGTAATAAATCTTGAAATGTCACCCTTCCATGTAGACAGCCAAAACATAAACTTCTGAAAATTGTGTCATAGTCCTCTAACCTTCACATCTGGTCTTGAGCTCTGGTAGTGACCAAAATGTTGACTACAAAATGAGTTTCCTCGGCAGGGTGGCTGAGCTCAGACGTAAGGCACGTTGAAAGGAGCCAGCCAGGTGGTCTGGTTAGGAGGCATCCTGGACACCAAGATCTAGTGGCTGACCCATGACACTCTGGAGGACTGGCCTGACAATGGCTTGGGCTTCCTATGGAGAAGTGGGGGGAAGTGGCTGGGGAGAGTTTGGACTTCTTTGTTAAGGCTTCGGCCCTGGACCCAGAGAAGTGGACTACCATAACCACCATGACGTTTCAGTTACTGCTCATGATGCTGCAGTGCCTCCACCAAAATACGCCAAACTCAGAAAACAAGGTGTGGAGCAAAAAGCAACACCGAGAAGACAACACGCTCGGTTCATAGGTTAGGATGTAGACGGGAAGGCAGAGACTTAAAGTTTGCAGATGATACAGTGATGGTGGGATGCATCACAAACAACGATGAGTCCAGCTACAGGCAGGAGGTGGAACACCTGGAGAGCTGGTGCAGGAAGAACAACCTTCACATCAATGTGAAGAAGACGAAGGAGATGGTCGTGGACTTCAGAAGGAACAACCCCACACACCCAGAGCGCCCCCCCCCCCCCCACAGGACGGCCCTGGGGACACGGGTTCCAACCTCACAAAACACATAGACCTGCTGGTCAAACTCCCACGCTCCTTCTCCAACTCTAGTGAGGGTAAAGAGCCAGTCCACGGTTCCACAGCCAGAACAGAAACCACGTCGCTCCTCTTCAATCCATGCGACAGCGTTCTGGGTTGTTCTGAGCATTTCAGTGTGGATGAAGGAGTTTCTTGAAACAGTACAAAGTTTACACAGATATTTTCAAAAACAACAAATAAAGAGTTTGTTTTGAAAAAACTGTCTCTGTGTGGACAGGGTCTGAGATCATCCACAGGTGGATCCTGATTGTACCTTCTGAAGGTACTGGTTGGAGTTCCAAGGTGACTCTAGAACCACACAACTTTTTTCAGTTCTTCACTTTTTACAATAAACTTTCTTTATTGAACTTCAATAATCTGAGTTATTTTAAAATCAGAGTAAATCCAGTTTGTTGGGGGGGGTCAATACTTTTACCACCCACTGTGTACGCGTAGCCATACAAGGATTTAATGTGTAGCGTGTCACATGTGGAGGGATGTGTGTGAACTAACATGTGTTCGTACGGTCGGTGCGTGCGCTCACCTTGGTCTCGCGCTCCTCCAGCAGCGTCTCCAGCCTCTTCTGGGCGGCTCGGCCCTCGTGGTCGTCGCTGACGATCAGGATGATGTGGTTCCACCTGAACTCCCTCATCAGGTCGAACCACACCTGGGCCTGGTGGGAGTACGGTGGGACGGTCCTCAGGAACGACAGGTGGATGCTCTGAAGGACAGAAGGAGGTGGACACGTGAAGCATCGTACGAGCTGATTGGACCAGGAACCTGTTGCCACCTCAGGAAGCCTGTGATGGTCTGAAACTAGAAGGTGAGTCCAAACCCTTTGTGACTTCACCTGAAAGACCAACGTGTGAATATTTGATCACGTCTGTGCAAACTGGAGAGTAGCTGGAGCGTTGTTGACTGGGAGAACTGGGCTGAAGACACTGAAGGTTTTCATCGAACTGAGAGGCTCTGAAACTTCCTGCTCAGCCTCACTCCGAGGACAGAGTCCTGCAGGTCATGAAGCCTGAAGAAGAACTGGAGTCGCCACAGAGGACTTTCAGGGGAACAACCGAGGGACAACAAAGTCCTGCCTCTCTTGGTTCTTGGGTTTTACAGACCAGGACCCAATGAACCTGGTCTGGTCTTTAACAGGTTCTAAAATTGGGGAGGAAAATTTGGGGAGTGGTGGCGCAGAGGTTAGAGAAGATGGGCCTGTGATTGGAAAGGCTCAGGTTCAACTCCCGGTACCATCAACATCAAAATGTGGGTGGAAAAGGTGAAACACCCACACCTGCCTCCACCCTCATTCACCCCACTCTGGGCCCCTGAGCAAGGCACTCAACCCCCCGCTCCCTAAACAGGTCTCTCTTGAAAATGAGTTCTCGTGACTCAGTGAGACTACCTGGATAAATAAAGAGTAAATGAAAAACAAAGATTCTAATCCAACCTGGTCAGAAAGTTCATTTTTATTTAACCCGACAGATCCCACTGAGATCTCAGGTTCTTTCTGGAGAGGCGGGCCTCGGCCTGAACGTTCACCTTTTGAGTCTTTACAAGCCGACGTCGTGCTGCCAAGACGTCTTTAGAAACACGATGGCGTTCTTCTGTCTTCCCCTGGCCTCCACTCGTCCAGTTTACTCAGATACATCAGGACTCCCTCTTACGGTGTCCTCGAGAGCGTCCGTGGACATGCTCACCGCTCTCGTCTCCCCCTCTGCACAATGTCTACGTCACTATGTGCTGGTTTGTGCGAGGTGTTTTTTTAATATCAGAGTTTTTTCTTCTCAGGCAGAAAAAAACGTCTTTCATCTCCAATTCCTACGTGTGTCCAGTTTATCACTTTTATTGTCTGTCCAGACAGGTCTCACTTGTAAATGAGTCTTTGAGGCTCATTGTGACTTATCTGTCTAAATAAAGGTTGAATGGATGAATGAATGAATGAATGAATGAATGAATGAATGAATGAATGAATGAATGAATGAATGAACGAATGAATGAATGAATGAATGAATGACTCCCGGCTGAGAGCGACCAAGTGTCCAGAGAAGTTTTCATTTCTGCGTCGACTCAGCGCTTCGTCTGAGTTTAGGAGCAGTTTTCTCTGGACACATCTTCCACTCGTGAACATTTGGTGCTTGTAAATCAGTCTGTGCAGTTATGAGTTCAGCTTTGTGTCCTTGTAAGATAAAGTTCTGTTTGGAGCGTGTCTACATGGGAATGAGTTAAACAGATTAGTATTAGATTACACTTCACACGCTGGTAAAGCTTAATTCAAGCTACGCATCTGGTTTACAAGCACCAAATAAATAAGACGAGTTTGTGCCGTAGTTTTCTGTCGGGATGAGGTGAGAGGTTCAAACATTTCTCCGATGGCTTCGTTTCTAAAACTTTATTCTCTTGGACACACGCCTCAGCAAACTCCCCCCAGCTTGTTTTCTTTTCTAATTTTAGGTTTTAGTTTTTAGCTACGATTCTGGTGATTTTAGCTTTTGTTCTACTGGTTTTGAACTTTGACGAGTAAATGATCTTCCTCCAACAGATGGCAGCAGTCGTTCAGCTCCCTACGTTCATGTCATGTTTTCACAGAAAACACTGTTTCTTTAGCTACAAATTACTTCCTTATTCAGACAAAAACTCTTCAGCGCTTTAAAAAAAACTGACTGTGAGTTGTGACTGTGTGGGTTTCAGAGAAATTAAATACTGGATCTAAAATTAAAATAAATTTCAGAATTTAGTTGGTATGGACAGAACTCTTGGGTGGATTGTGGAGGACCGGGGACAGAGCCCTGATGAACACCAAGTGGCATCAGAACAGTGAAGGACTGAGGATCCAGCTGACCTTGTCGGAGTAGATGGACATGCGCGTCGTCAGGCCAACCACAGGAATCCGGTAGAACCCGGCCGTGTAGGAGACAGGCGTTGGAGTCAGGTGGTCGTTGGACTGCGGAGGATGACTGACCAGGATGGCGTAAACCTGCAGAAGAAGAACGAGTTCACTGCCAACGAGAAAAACAAAGATCCTGAGGCTTCCATGGGAAACACTCAGTCTTGTGGTGTTACATTGTTTAGAACATTATCATCTGCTGCCAAAAGGTCTCTGTACATTTGTTTGTCTGTTAGCAAAATATCTCATCAACCACTGAGAAGAATTACATGAAGCTTCAGAAAGTAATCCGTTGATGAACATCTAGAACAGATTCATTTTTGGAGTCAATTCAAATCAAGAAGGTCGTCACAGACACTGACATTTAAAAAAAGGCTGTAATGCATTTGATTGACATATGTAGAGTTATAAATGAGTGTGGTAGTAGCTGAAAGTATTCCCCAACACACGCTCCGAGCACCAACAGATCACGTAAGATCTTTGCTTTATATCCAAGCTGGCAGGCGACAGGCACGGTTTCATGGATCAGGTTTTATTCCAGTTCTTGTTTGTTCCACTCAGAGTTTGAGGACGTGTGGACACTTTCAGGATTATCATTAAAACGTGAATGTTTCATCACATGATCAGAAAACAGAGAAGAAAGAAAAGAGACAGAATGAGTCCACGTCAGGATCCACCGGAGCTGAAAACACGTCGAGAGACACAAAAAACGTGTTTCAGGTTTTTAATGTGCACTGAGAGCTCCCGACTGAAACTCTGCCGCGCCCAGGGAAGACACAAAGACAGGTGCTAAAACGTCCTGAAGACGCCCCTGAGGAGACGTCCAGGTCTACAGAAGAACCGGGTCAGGATCTCTCTCTGGGTCACACTCACTGAAATAAAACTGATTCATCTGAGCTCTCCTCCAGAACCCAAACTGAAAACACATCAGAGGACCAGCCAGAGGACCAGAGGACCAGCCAGAGGACCAGAGGA